GCCGCGCTCCCGGGGACCGAGCCCCCCGCGCCGCCGGCGGGGTGCCGAGCCCCAGCTCCCGCTCCGCGCCGCCGGCATCGCCTCTCCCCCTTTCTCCCCTTTCCTCCGTTCTCTTCTTCCTTTCTTTCTCCTCCCCCCCAACTCTTTCTCTCTCTCTTTCTTTCCTTCCACCCCTCTTTTGACTCTCGTTTGAAAAGCCTCCCGCGGACGAAGCGAGCGCGGTGCAAAGTTTTGCAAGAGGTGGAAAGAGATTTGCAGCACCAGGGTAAGGTGTTTGGACGGGAGAAAACAAGCCTCCGGATCCTTAAACAAACCCCCTTTTCGGCAATAAAGCACACCGGGGCGGGGGGGGAAGCCCAAACCGACTTTAAACGGTACATTAGTGACAACATGCGAGGGACCATGTGACCAGATCATTCCTAAAGCTAAATCAACACCTTGTCAACACAATGCAGCGACAAGAGTGAAAAACAAATGTCATTTTCACAGTCTGAAAGCCATAAACCCCCATCGGATGCACTGGCACCAACGTTATACGCACACATACTATTTAAAATGAGAGGGACTAAGAGGTAAAGGGGAAAGTACACCGGGGGAAAAAACCCTGTCCACCACATCAATTGCAGAGTACATTATTTTCTGTCAACCAGATCCTGAAAAACGTAACGTAACAACGTCGCTCCCATGCAAGCTATTCATTTCCCCATGTCAGCGCTCCCAGTACACCAGCTCCTGTCCTTGGTCCCCACTCTTCCCGAGGCAGGGCTTGCGAGCCACCTCTCACTGCAGCACCGTGCGAGCTGGAGATGTCTCAAGGTGCGAGGTTCTCCGCAGCCACTGGCAAACTTCGATGTTAGGCAGCAGAAGGAAAAACAAAACAAAACAAAACAAAAAAAACCCCCAACACACCAAGCTTTCTGAAAGCTTTGAATTTCGGCCAGACTGCCCAGGACAGGGGTACAATATTCCTCAAGAAGTGTGCACAGCGCCAACGAGCGACCCTAGCTAGGAAACTTCTCTTGCTGCTGCAGGAGAACCCTCGAGTGAGCAGCAGATAAAACCCCCCCAGCATCAAACCGCAGCCGGTCAGCACACAGAAAAGCAAAGTGCAAGAAGAACCAAGCCAGACCACGTCCCCAAAGCTGTTCCCAGCCCCGTGCGGGAAAGCAAGACCCCTGCTGCCTTGTACTGCGGTTTAAATGTCGCTTCCAGGCTCCCTGACCCTCCCCGCTTCTTACTTTTAAACTGACACCGAGGGTTTGCTTTTCCCAGAAAAGGCAGAGCCTGGGCTTCTGCGCTCCTCTCCGAAAAGACCAGCGCCCTGAAGCCGGCGACTCTGAGGTCCCTTTAGGTACTTAAACGTGGGCAAGCTGCCTTCACGGTTCTGTGTTTTATTTGTTCAAGTCACTACCTTATGATTCATAAATATCTGAACCAAAAAACCCAGCAGTGACCGAGGTCACGCAAGTCGGCTGACCGAGAATTCCTTCCCAGCCCTGACAGACTGGGACAAACCTTTCAAGACATTAACGCGTTTATTTCACGCAGGCGTAGCCCCTTCCTAAAAGGAGGGGGATTAAATTCAACCGTGAAACCTGTTTTGTCGAAGCAACCCCTAAATGCGGATTATTTATTGCCCAAAGTTAGCACATTTTCAACGTGCTATGAGCTATCTTTGAAATCAGTGATTTTCTGCAGCGAGCTGAACCAGGCGCCTAACTTCTCCCCAAAAGCCACCCGTAGAGGCACACGCACACGCGTGTCTGTGCCTGCGGGTTTGTAACACGAACGCAGCACTTTTTCCTGCGGCAGCCTGAGCTTAATATTTTGGTACGAGCAAAACCCTTTCAGATTTTTTTCTAGTCCTGCTGATAGCACGGCGAATACCAACACGTCACACAGTCAATACAAACAGCCTCTTAACCAGGACAATATATATTTACACACTGACACACGGAACAACTAAACGTAAAATATACGGAGATAATACTCGCTAGAAGTAAACACTGCCAGCCAGCTGATTATTTAGAGGCCTTAAACCGGTTATGTCAAAATGAAGAAAAACAGAAGTGCGTTCTCCTGCTAAGAATCAGCTACATTATTAAAAATCTGTAAAGGCAATAAGCTATCAAACCTTGCTCGACAGGTCTCTAACAGAAAATACATACGTAAAAAAGAGAAGCATCGCTCGGGTAGGTTTGTGTACTTTGCACCCATCTCCTCTCGGAAAACTCTCTCATCAGGAATAAAGCAGCCGTCATTCTACGTCTTCACCCATTATCAGTCAGAGCCACTTTTACTATCGAGCCTGTTATTACTCTTTCGCTTAAGAATGGCCACGTATGTTTTAAAGGGGGGACGCTGCTTCTTTCAGAGAAGGCAGACAGAGCTCAAATATCTCTGCCCAGCTCGCCGCAGTGAGGAGAGACCTGGATATTGGCAACGCAGTGCAAAAGGACCCCAATCCCTTAAATCACCTCCCTGGAACCAGGTGAAGGATACGATCTGTCTACTTAAAAAAAAAAACAAACAAAACCAAAACCAAAACCACAACCCACACTAAAATGTTAATTTTTCTACTATCTAAGCAATCAGGTAGGTCAAGCCTCCGTGTCTCTGGCAAACTGCAGCACAAGTCTCTCTCAGTTTCCAGGACGCACTGCACAGTCACTCAGAGTAGTTTTACTGGACTGCATTTCCAGGATCCCCCTGGTCTTTGGGACAGTCCCATAAAATAAGTTGCTCTGACCACTACAGACTACGCAAAAAAACCTTTTAACGCCAAGCTTGCAAATGGGCACGCACGCCCAGGTTTTCCTCGACTTTTCTCGAGAGTGGAGGAGTGAATCAAAGTTTCTAGAGGCTGAAAAGTGACTCTCTCACTTTTATAGAAATGCGATTTTTCTGCTTATTTTCACCTGATTATTTGCAAATATTTACAGTAAACACAGAGAAACATCCCGTGTTATACATTGCCAAGGCCATACAATCACAAAAACATACACCAGGAACTTTCCAGTGGTGCCCATAAGCAGCATGAGGAGCCCACTCGTGACACCTTTAAGATCTGACAAAGGATTTCATGTAAATTTACCCTTCCCGGGCTGAGGAGGAGGGGAAGAAGAAGAAGAAGAAAAAACCAAACAAAAAACCAAAACCCACCAACCCAGAGAAAAGAAATTCAGACCCCCCCCCCCCCCCCCCCGCGTCCCACAGACACATCACCTTTGCTCCAAAGGCTCCAGCAAACCGCACGCCCCAGGTCCCCAAGATCGCAGCCAAACTGCTACCCTTACGCCCCCCCAAAGTTATTTCTCGGTGTTGGCCACCCCTCTCCCCTCCCAGCAGGCACAAACCCCCAAACTTTAGCATTTAGAGCAGAAATGCAAGAGGAGACATTGGAAACAACTGGGAACCGCCATCTTACAACCCATCCAATTTCACACAAGTACTTGTCCAACTTAAGTTAATAACATTTTCTGCTGGGTGCCCCGACGCCTAACAACCCCTCCAGGAGGATCGCTACCCCCCGCTGGCTCTATCCCTATAAAATGGGTGCATTATCTGACATTTTAACCTCCCCCAGACACATTTCTTTCGGGGAGGACTGAAATCACTTGACCCAGGCAGCTCCAGATTTCACGAACGCCCCTGTTTAATCAAAATCTGCCTTTAAACAAAGGGCGCTCAGGCCGGGCTGGCAGCAGGGTCTGGAAATATAAATATTCTCCTCGGGGGCCATGTGCACAGAAAGGTTTTAGGGGGCGTCTGGAGAAAGAAAGGAACTAAAATTTGCAAATGTGGGTGCGTAACGCGAGCGAGTGCACAGGCTGCTGCTGCTGCTGCTGCGTGTCTATATGTGTGTGCGTGTGGCTGGAGCAGCCTGTCAGCGCTTTTCCCATACGGAGAGCTCGGGGGACACCTAGGCTCCCCTTTGCAGCCCCCAAACCGGCCGAAAACCGCCGCCGAGCCCCCTTCGCCCCCCGCCCTTGGTAAGGCGACACCTCGCTTCATACGTACCCGGAAAGCGGAGCCGGTGGGTGACGATCGGAGCGGCCAAAAAAGACAATGAAAGTTAAAAGTCGTTCAGCAGAAAATGAATGTGAGCCAAGCGGCCATCTTGAAATGAACTGCAGACGCTGTCAATTGCAATAAGCTTATTGCCGCCGCCGCCGCTGCGCTCCGCTCATTTTAGTTACAAAACACCCGGGTTTCCTCCTCTCGTCCACCGGCCCTTCTCGCTCCCTCGCTCTCCCTCCGAGTTCGCCGCCCGGGCGGCTCAGGCGCTGGGAGCGCAAAGTCTCCCCGGTCCGGATGGGTCCTCTCTCCACCAGCCCATTGTCTCTCCCTCTGCCCCCCGCTCCGCCTCGCGGCCTCGCTCGCGTGCCTTCTTTTATTAGTATTAGTATTATTATTACGAGTATTATTGTTGTTGTTATTTCATAGTTGGTG